CCCCCCAGGGACCCCCAGGACCCCTCCACTGACCGGAACCCCCCAGCCCCAGAGCCCCCTCCCCATTTCCCACCACAATTCCCAGCTGGAATCAAACCCAAATCCCGGCTGCGCCCCTTGCAGACCCCAGCCCCATTTCCCCTCTGTTTCCCCCCCGTTTTTTCCCATTTCCCCTGGTTTCTCACCCTTTCCCCTCCATTTCTTTCCCATTTTTCCCCTTTGTTTCCCTCATTTCCCTGATTTTCCCCTTCCCACACATTTTCTCACCCATTCCCTTCCGGTTTTCCCCACTTCCTCACGTTTTCCTCCACCATTTCTCTCATTTCCCCATTTTTTCCTAATCCCCCTCCATTTTCCCTCAATTTCCCCCCATTTTTCCCCAATTTCCCCCCATTTTTCCCCAGTTTCCCCCATTTTTCTCCAATTTCCCCCCATTTTTCCCCAATTTCCCCCCATTTTTCTCCAATTTCCCCCATTTTTCTCCAATTTCCCCCCATTTTTCCCCAATTTCCCCCCATTTTTCCCCAATTTTCCCCCATTTCTCCCCAGTTTCCCCCCATTTCTCCCCAATTCTTCCCCAATTTTTCCCATTTTTCCCCCCAATTCTCCCTCTCCTCTGAGCCAGGATCGGGTCCCTGCTGTTCCCTGGGAGTTTTGGGGTGTCCCCCCCTCCCCAAATCCCCCCTGGGGGGGGGGGGGTTTGACCTCTGACCCTGCCCAGCCCAGGGAATTTGGGAAACACCCCCTGGAATTTTGGGAAACACCCCCTGGAATTTTGGGGGCTCCTCCCGTGGGAATTCTGGGGCCACCCCGAGGATTTTGGGGGCCCCCCCCCCGATTTGGGTCCCTCCCGTGGGATTTTTTGGGATCTTCCCAGGATTTTGGGCCTCCCCCGCTGGGAATTTCGGGTCCCCTCCGTGGAATTTCGGGGTTCCCCCTGGAATTTTGGGAATTCTGCCCCTCCCCCATTCCCAAATGAGCTCATTAACAGTATTAACCCCTCCCCCCACGGGGGACACCCCAAATCCCACCCATCCCCCCCCCCTCCCCCAGTCCCAAACTGGTCTGTACTGGTTTGTACTGGTTTCCCACAGCCGGGATTGCAGTTTTTTCGCTCACTTTTGCTCATTCCCGGGGGTTTTGGCCCAAATCCCGGCCGGATTTCGGCCGTTCCGCCGCGATTCCGGGGCGGCCGCGCCCCCAGTGCCTCTCGGAACCCCAAATTCTCAGGGAAAAACCAAAAAGCCACAAACCCGCGCCCGGAATCGACGGAAAACGGCGGCCGGAGTGGGGGGGAAGGAGCCGAAGGCGGCGGAGTTTCGGGGCAAAAAGGAGCCAAATTGGGATTTTTGGGTTTGAGGCAGTTTTTTTTTCTTGCTTTCTTTAATTTTTTGGGCGGTTTTGGCCCCAGCCTGAAGCGGGCTAATGAGGAATTCGGCAATAACGAAGCGGCGCCGCTTGGAGGAGTTGATTTTTAACCCTTTCGTGTTGCTTTTTACTCATTTTGAGCCAAAATCATCAGTTTTTTTGGGGTCTGTTTGAAGGGTTTTTTTGGGTGGATTCCTCAAAATTGCCTCGTTTTGGGGTGAAGCCACGGGGAAGGGGGAGGATCGTTCCGGGGGGGCGCTGGACCCCCCCAAATCGCTCCTTTTCCCCCCAAAGCGGTGGCGGAATTATTTAATTTGTAAATAATGTACAAATTTTTACCAGCTCCGATGTAAATACGGCAATAAAGGTTGCAGTAAAGCTCGGCTCCTCCCGCCCGCCAGGGGGCGCGCGGCCCCGCCCGCCTCTCTATGGTTCTCCCTCAGAGTCTCTGTGGCCGCTCTCGTGCCGCTTCACAATGGTTTCGCAGCCCCTGAGGTTTTCGTGGGCGCTCAGGATCGCCCTGTGCTGCTGTTCGCCCGCCAGAGCCTCTGCGCTTGGTGCGGCGCGCCCCGTTACTGGTCTGTACTGGTTTATACTGGTGCGTTCCTCCATGGGCTGCTCTGACCTCTCCTTCCGGTCTCTATGGTTGTGGCTGCAGCACCGGAAGCCGCTCTGGCCGCCGGGCGCCTCTCTATGGTTGACCCGCCGCGGTTACGGTTCGATAGCGGCGGCGCTGCGGGTCCTCCCGGCCGCCAGGCGGCGCCATCGCCCCCGCGGCCGCTCTGTCCCGCCACATCCGGGTCCCGCGCAGCGCGATGGCGGCGGAGGAGCCCGGGGAGGGCCCGGGTGGGACCGGAGAGCGCTGGAGGGGGACGGGGACGGCGGTGAGAGCCCGGGAGCGGGCGGGGGGGAGGTAACGGGGCGGTCCGAGAGGGTCGGGGGTGAGGAGGGGGCTGAGGGGCCGTGAGGGAGGCGAGATCCGAGGGGACTCGGAGGGGTCTGAGAGGATTTGGGGGCCTGAGGGTGGTCGGGGTGAGGAGGGGGCTGAGGCGGGCGAGATGTGACGGGGCTTGGAGGGGTCCGAGGGGATTTGGGGGGCTTTGAGGGGATTTTGGGGCGTGTGAGGGGATTTGGGGGGCTTTGAGGGCCCTGAGGGGGATTTGGGGGAGGTGTGAGGGGATTTGGGAGCCCTGAGGCGATTTTGGGGCGTTTGAGGGGATTTGGGGTCCCTGAGGGGATTTGAGGGAGGTGTGAAGGGATTTGTGGGTCCCTGAGGGGATTTTGGGGGTCCCTGAGGGGATTTGGGGGGTCCCTGAGGGGATTTGGGGGGTCCCTGAGGGGATTTGGGGGTCCCTGAGGAGGATTTTGGGGCTCTAGAGGGGGGGTGGGGGGCAGCAGCCCTTGTGGGGGGGGTTTGGGACGATTTGGGGGGGCAGAGCTGGGGGATGATGGGGGGAGGGGCAGAGCTGCGCCCCCCTCCCCCCCATTAACCTCCCCCCCCCCAATTTCTCTCCCTTTCCCCCCCAAATTTCCCCCCCCCAGCTCGGAAGACCCCGATGACAAACGGCTCCAACCTCGGGGCTCCTGGGGTCCCTCACCTTCTCGGGGGGGACCCCAACCCCTCCTACTGGTACCAGGTGGGTGGGATTTTTTTTTTGGGGGGGGGGGGAAGGATTTGGGGTCTCCAGGGGGGTCCTCAGGCTGATCCCACCCCCCTTTTGACCCCTCCCCAGCACAGCTACGGCACCTGTGGCTACCAGAGCCCCTGGGGCTACGGCCACAGCTGAGGGGGGGCTGCACCCCCCTGTACAGACTGTGGGACCCCTTCCCCAAAATTCGGGGGGGGGGGGGCGTTATTGTAAATAAAGAGGCTGTGAGGAGTTACCCGAGGCGTTTATTGGGGTTTCTTTCATTTGGGAGGGGGAGCAGCAGATTTTTGGGATCCCCCAGGGATTTTTGGGGTGTCCCAGGTGGATTTCAGGACCCCGCCATGGAGTCCGAGGTACCCCCCAACTGACTCAGGGGTTCTCCAGAGGGATTTTGCAGACTCCAGGCAGATTTTGGGATGCTCCAAGTGGATTTGGAGGTGCCCAGGTGGATTCCAAGCTCCCCCTGTGGATTTCGAGCTGTTCCCAACACATTCTGGGGTGTTTCAGGTGGATCTCGAGGTGCCCCAAATGGATTTTGGGAGTCCCAGGTGGATCTGGAGGTGCCCCAGGTGGATTCTGGGGTGCCCAGGTGGATCTGGAGGTGCCCCAAACAAATTTTGGGGTGCCCAGGTGGATCTGGAGGTGCCCCAAACAGATTTTGGGGTGCCCAGGTGGATTCCAAGCTCCCCCCGTGGATCTGGAGGTGCCCCCAACAGATGTTTGCGTTGTCCAGGGTCCATTCCAGGATGCTCCAGGTGTACCCACAGCAGATCCCTCGCAGATTTTGGGCTCCCCCCAGCAGATTTCGGGCTCCCCCAGCAGATTTGGGGGTCCCCCGCAGGTTTGGGGGTCTCTAGAAGCCCTTCTGGAGCAGCCACTGCCGCACCTCAGGCCCCCAGTGCCCCCTGAGCCGCAGCGTCCCCGTCACCTCGTTCACCTGCGCCTGCACCTCGCCGACCCCCAGCGAGCCCAGGAACGCCCTCAGGTCCCGCTCCAGCGCCTGGGGGGGCACGGGGGGGGGTCAGCGGGACCCCAGAGACCCCCCCCGGACCCCCCCAAAGCCCCCCACTCACCCAGATGTCGCCGTGGATGTGGCGCAGCGCCGTGAGGCGCCGGCCCTGCCGCTGGCCCAGGTACACCGGGAGGTTGTGCAGGCGAGAGCGGCGAACGAAGTACGGCAGGTCCGGGGGGGGGCCTGGGGGTAATTAACATCCCCGGGGGTAATTAACACCCTCCGGGGGTAATTAACGTCCCCCAGAGGGAATTAACACCCCCCAGAGGGAATTCCACCCACCCCGAGCCGAGTCAGTTCTTTTCACTACTTGGTTTGGAATCAATAATTCCCCCTTCAAGGAAATATCTTAGGCACCCCCCCCATGGTAATTAACAGCCCCTAAGGGTAATTAACAGCCCCTGAAGGTAATTAACAGCCTCTGAGGGCAATTAACAGCCCCTCGAATTAATTAACACACACACACAGACACACACAGCCCGGGGCAATTTGGGGTAAATAAATCCTCTTCCCTATTTGGTTTGGGGTGGATATTTTGGAATATTTTGGGATCCTCCCCCGCGATAATTAACTCCCCCTCGGAGTAATTAACAACCCCCCCGAGGTAATTAACACCCCCCCAAGGGTAATTAAACTCCTCCCACAAGGTCATTAAGCTGCGGCTTATTCTCGAGAGGGCACAAGCGGCGTTAATCACCCCAGGCAATTAATAATCAGCCCCTCCCGCGGTTAATTACCCCGGGGTTAATGACCCCCGGGCCGCTGACCTGCGGGGGGGCTCCAGCCGGACGGGGTGGGGTATTTGGGGTGCGGGGGCGGCTCGGGGATGCGGCTGGGGGGCAGCAGCCGCTCCACCAACTCAAACTCGGCCGTCGACTCCTCATAACGGGGGGGCCCCGCCGGGCTCTGTGGGGACCCCAAAAACCCTGAGAGACCCCCCCGGCTCCCCCTCCCCGATTGATTCACCCCCAAAAGTCCCCCCCAGGCCCCCCCCTCTCCCCTCAGGAACGCCCCAATTTCCCTTCGCTAAACGCTCCCCATCGCGATTCCCTCTCCCGAATCCCCTCAGGCACTAAACCGCTCCCCCTCCAATCTCCCTTCACCCCTCAAACCGCCCCCGCCCTAATTTCCCCCCTCACAACTCCCCCTACACCCCCCCACCAGAGAACCGCTCACACCCCGACGCCCCCGCCTCGGTACCTGCACCCCTCTGAGCCCCCGGCCCAGCGCCCGCAGCCTCCGACACAGCGCCGCCATCGCCGCCATCTTGGCTCCTCCTCCTCCTCCTTCCCGCCCTCACGACGTCATCGCGCAGCACGCATCGACGTACGCGTGACGTCAGCGCGCTCTCTCCGCGCCGCGCTCGGAGCCCTGAGGGAGCCGCTGAGGTGGGGCCGGGCCCGGGGGTCCGGGACGGGAATTTTGGGGGAGATTTGGGGGGTCTGGGGGCTACAGAGGGGTCGGGGAAAGGTCAAAGGAGGCGCTGGGGCAGATTTGAGGTGAGGGGAGCGTTCTGTAGGCTTTGGAGGGGCTCAGGGGTGCATGGGGTGAGGGCAGGAGGGTTTCAGGGAAGGTTTGGGGGGGACCGTGAGGGGGTTTAGAGATAGGGGGGCGCTCTGGAGGGGCTTAGGGGGGCTTTTAGGGCGTTTGGGGTTTATTGGGGGGGTCAGGGGAAGGGCTGGGGAGGTGTTTGTGGAGCTCGGAGGGGGTTCAGGTGAGAGGGGGGGTCTGGAGGGGCTGCAGGGTCAGCTGGGGAGGCTCTGGAGGGGATTTTGGGGGGACTGTGAAGGTTGGGGGGGTGTTGGGGGTTATGTGGGGGCCCTTTGAGGCCTTGACGGGGTCACTGGGGGGCAGCTCTGAGGGTGGGGGGCACCCAGGGGTGCTGCCTGTGTCCCCCCCCATCACAGCCCTTTGTCCCCACGGCCCCAGGCCAGGTGACAAAGTCCCTGTGGGCGGGAGAGGAGGCAGAAAACGCCGCCAAAACAGCCACAATCCCACCCAAAATAGCCAGAGACACCCCAAAACACATCCACAATGCCTTGAAAACACCCTTAAACAGCCACAGCCCCCCAATAACCCCCCCAGTCACCAAAACACCACTTCCCCCCCAAAAATAACCCTCAGACCACCCTCAGATCTCCCAAATCGTCCTTCTCTCACCTTCCTCCCTTTCTTGGATCTCCCCCTCCCCTTCCAAGGGGTTCCTCCCATTTTTGTGATGTGGGGGGCCCCCCTAACCCCCCCAAATCTCCCCCCAGCCGCCACCATGCAGCTCTTCATCCGCGGCCAGACCCTCCTCACCCTCGAGCTCTCCGGCTCCGAGACCCTCGCCCAGATCAAGGTGAGCCCCCAAATTCGGGCTGTCCCCCTCCCCAGTCCCCCCGACTTTGGGGTGCTGACCCCCCCCCGTTTGTCCCCCCTCCCCAGGAGAGGGTGGCCGAGCTTTCGGGGATCCCCCCCGAGGACCAAGTGCTGCTCCACGCCGGGACCCCCCTGGACGATGAGGCCGTGCTGGGGCAGAGCCCCCTCCCCGAATTCACCACCCTGGACCTCTCCACGCGCCTGCTGGGCGGTAATTCCGGGGGGGCCGCTAATTAGCGGGGCGTTAATTAACAAAACGAACGCCCGTAACTCCCCGATTTCCTTCCTCCGCCCAGGTAAGGTCCACGGCTCCCTCGCCCGCGCCGGCAAAGTGAGGGGCCAGACCCCCAAGGTGAGCGCTGAGGGGGCTCCCCCCGGCTTTAGGGGACCCCCACGGGGCTTGGGGACCCTGCCAGGATTTTGGGGACCACCCCTGACCCCCCGTTTTTTGATCAGGTGGCCAAGCAGGAGAAGAAGAAGAAGAAGACGGGGCGGGCCAAGCGGCGCATGCAGTACAACCGGCGCTTCGTCAACGTCGTGCCCACCTTCGGCAAGAAGAAGGGCCCCAACGCCAACTCCTGAACCCCAATAAAGGAATTTGGGTCCAATTCCCGCAGTTTGGGGCTCTCTGAGCTTTTTTCACTCTTTTTTGGGGGTTGTTGTGTATTGTATGGGCGATTTTGAGATGTTTAAAGGGGTTTAGGGGTGAAAGCAATCTCTAGGGGGTCAGTGCGCGTTGCTGAGCAGCTGTCAGGGTAGTTAATGGGCGGTAATTAGAGGGAGGAGCTTAATAAGCGTTAATTTGGAGTCGGCTAATGAGAAGATCCTGTGTGGAGAAGAGTTTTCTATGGAACTGGCGGAAAGAGCCGAGCGGTGCCGGAAACACCCGAGAGCAGCTGAGGGGCGGGGACAGCCGACAGCTGCCGGAAACACCCGAGCGCAGGGGAGGGGCGGGGTCATCCGAGAGCTACCGGAAACACCCGAGCGCAGCTGAGGGGCCGCAGGGGAGCCGAACGCTGCCGGAAACACCCGACTGGTTCCGAACGTGAGGGAGCCGAGCAGTGCCGAAAATGCCCCGAGCGGTGCCTTCGCTCCCCCCAAAATCCCCCTGGGAGGGAAGGAGGGACCCCCAAAACCCCCCGGGAGGGGAAGGAGGGACCCCCAAAACCCCCCGGGAGAGGAAGGAGGGACCCCCAAAACCCCCGGGAGAGGAAGGAGGGACCCCCAAAACCCCCGGGAGAGGAAGGAGGGACCCCCAAAATCCCCGGGAGAGGAAGGAGGGACCCCCAAAACCCCCTGGGAGAGGAAGGAGGGACTCCCCAAAACCCCCTGGGAGGGACGGAGGGTCCCCCAAAACCCCCCGGGAGAGGAAGGAGGGACCCCCAATTAGCCCAAAACCAGTCCGGGGGGGAAGGAGGGACCCCCAAAACCCCCCGGGAGAGGAAGGAGGGACCCCCAATTAGCCCAAAACCAGTCCGGGGTAGGCGAAGGAGGGACCCCCAATCCCCCCGGACCGGTTCCTTCACAGCCCCAGAGCCGCTGGACGGGGAAAAAGGGCGGGGCAAACCCGCCCTGAGATATGAATATGCAAATAAAAGAGCGTTATTATGCTAATAAACGAGTGACGCAATACTTCCCGCGCTGCGTGCGTGAGAGGCGGGGTATGCAAATTAAAAAGAGAAGAAGGGCATCATGGGAGTATTAATCAGGGGGATTTTGGGGTTCAGAGGGGTCGAATTAAGACAAAATTGGGCAAAAATGTCGAGAATTGGAAGGGGAAGAATCCCCGGACATGGAGGGGAAAGTCGCGATGGCGACAGAAAGGTGACCATGATGTAGACAAGGCACAGAGAGTATCGGAGTCGGTGCGGGGGGAGGGATCGGCATCGCTTCTCGGCCTTTTGGCTAAGATCAAGTGTAGTATCTGTTCTTATCAGTTTAATATCTGATACGTCCTCGATGAGAGGACTTCATATTAAACGGATTTTTGGGCTCGGGAGTTGGACCCGGAGCTTGCTCCCTCCGCTCCGCGCATCGTCCCGGTATTGCAGTGCCTCCGGGAACGGTGCACCCCGCTCGGGGTCATTCTATCGGTGAAAGACAGACTCAGCTTCTGCTGCTCTAGCGCGATATCCCCGCGCTTCAGCCTCCAACCCTTCTCTGGCGCGATATCCCCGCGCTTCAGCCTCCCACCCTTCTCTAGCGCGATATCCCCGCGCTTCAGCCTCCAACCCTTCTCTGTCGCGATATCCCCGCGCTTCAGCCTCCCACCCTTCTCTAGCGCGATATCCCCGCGCTTCAGCCTCCAACCCTTCTCTGGCGCGATATCCCCGCGCTTCAGCCTCCAACCCTTCTCTGGCGCGATATCCCCGCGCTTCAGCCTCCAACCCTTCTCTGGCGCGATATCCCCGCGCTTCAGCCTCCAACCCTTCTCTGGCGCGATATCCCCGCGCTTCAGCCTCCAACCCTTCTCTGGCGCGATATCCCCGCGCTTCAGCCTCCACCCCTTCTCTGGCGCGATATCCCCGCGCTTCAGCCTCCAACCCTTCTCTGGCGCGATATCCCTGCCCATGGTCCCGGTATTGCAGTGCCTCCGGGAACGGTGCACCCCGCTCGGGGTCATCGATGGGTTAAAGACAGACTCGGTTTCTGCTGCGAGTCGCGACTGTGGGGCTTCTATCGCGATATTCGTGTCCCTCGGACCTGGGCCCTTCTCCATCACGATATTCCTGCGCCTCAGCCTCAGACCATTCACTATCGCGATATCCCTGTGCCTCAGCCTTGAACCATTCACTATCGCGATATCCCTGCGCCTCAGCCTCCAACCCTTCTCCATCACGATATCCCCACACTGTGCCTCACAACTGGACCCTTCTCTATCGCGATATCCCTGATCTATCGCGGCTCTGTCGCGGTTCTATCGCGATTCTATCGCGGTTCTGTCGTGCTCACGGCCCTGCCATGGCCGCTCGGCCTCGCTCCCGCGGCGCCTCTGCCCCCCAAACGGGACCTTCGTGCTTTCGGAACGGCCCCAAAGCTCCCGACATTGCGTCAGATCGCGATTATCGCGACACGAGCCGCGGGGCTGCGTTTCGGGGTCACCCCTGGGCTTTATCTCCGCGCTCCGTCCCCATCTCGCAGCATCCCCGGGACTTTAAACCGCCTGAAATTCACCCAAAGCGACCGAAGCCCGCGTCTCTATCGCGATATTTGTCGCGATTGAAGGAGTCGGCGCCGCTCCCGGTACCGACGGCGGCTCCGGGAGCGCCGAACCCCAACGAGGGCTCTCAAAACCGGACCCCGATCGCGGTAACGGCGTCGGTATCGCGATAACGGCGTCGATATTGCGATAACGGCGTCGATATCGCGATAACGGCGTCGATATCGCGATAACGGCGTCGATATCGCGATAACAGCGTTGATATGGCGATAGCGGCGTTGATATCGCGATAATGGCGTCGATATCGTGATAGCGGCGTCGATATCGCGATAACGGCGTCGATATCGTGATAACGGCGTTGATATGGCGATAGCGGTGTCGATATCGCGATAGCGGCGTCGATATCGCGATAGCGGCGTCGATATCACGATAGCGGCGTTGATACCGCGATAACGGCGTCGATACCGCGATAGCGGCGTCGGTATCGCGATAGCGGCGTCGATATCGCGACAGCGGCGTTGATACCGCGATAACGGCGTTGATATCGCGATAGCGGCGTCGATATCGCGATAAATAACGGCGTTGATATGGCGATAGCAGCGTCGATATCGCGATAACGGCGTCGATATCACGATAACGGCGTTGATATGGCGATAGCAGCGTCGATATCGCGATAACGGCGTCGATATCGCGATAACGGCGTCGATATCGCGATAACGGCGTTGATATGGCGATAGCGGCGTTGATATGGCGATAGCGGCGTCGATATCGTGATAATGGCGTCGATATCGTGATAACGGCGTCGATATCACGATAACGGCGTCGATATCGCGATAACGGCATTGATATGGCGATAACGGCGTTGATATCGCGATAGCGGGGTTGATAT